TATAATGTTATCAATATTTTCACTATTAGAAAAGATAATTTAGGAGAAATACTGTAGGCTATTTTCTTGTCTTGACCACACATACACAGTTTGAATAGACTTTTTTTTTATAGGGAAATGTCTAATGAAGTTGATAGCCACCTGGCCATCGGGGGAAAAAAAAAAGAAGGCGGAGGTGAGGAGCAACTCTCGGCCAGGTGGCTATTAACTTCATTAGAGAGAATGAGAAACAATCTGTTCAAACTGTGTATGTGTGGTCAAAACAAGACAATAAAATTCCCCCTAAATGATCTTTTTTTATAGTGAAAATATTGATAACATTATACCTGGACCTCCAAGAACAGTATACAAAAATAAAAAAGCCAGTTCATGACCCTTTAAGCCATGGGTCTTAAACTCAATTCCTGGAGAGCCGCAGCTCTGCAGTTTTGCTCTAACCCTAATCAAACACAGCTTATCCAACTAAACTAGGTGTTCAAGACTACTATCAAGGTGTTCAAGAGACTATTAAGCAGGCGCGAGTTGGAGGTGGATGGAGATAAACTGTGCAGAGCTCCTCCAAGAATTGAGTTTGAGACCACTGCTTTAAACGCATTACTTTTCGCCAGCTTCCAAATGAACAGCTCATGATTGTAAGCACATTACGCACTTCAGTCTAAAATTAAAACTGCAACAAGTTTGATCAAGTCAGCTCAACTGCCTGGACATGTAGGCTGTGCCATGATCCATATTTCACCCTCCCGAAAGAGCTGAAAGATAACACAAATAAACAAAGCCATCATCTATCAACGCTGGCCTATTGTCTCTGGAGCCGCTCTACCTTTAAATTACAGGCCAAGTGTCCACAACACAGCATAGTGCTCATCCCAGAGGGCCGTTTTGCTGGAAGAGCAGAGCCTTCACTTAAATGTCAAGCTTCTGGTTTTGAGGTTGGGAATGATAGTGGATTAATGGTATGGGTCAGCTTTTGCGTTTGATCTGAACGAACAAATCCACACACTTGCGGTGACAGTCCGGTCGGAGGATCCTGTAAATTGTAGTGTGAAAACAATTGGATTTCTGTCCCCACAAAACAAAATGGCAACCTGTGTCCAAAAAATAGGGGGTTTAGAGCACCATTTTGGAAACTCGGCGAAGCAGAAAGCGCATCTACTGTAGTTCTCAGCAGTGGATATGCTGGTAATTGAAAATCAGAGTGTGTGTAAATTGCTCCTCCTGTCCATGTGCCATGAAATGCATGAGCAGCTTTATGCACCACAGCTGCTTTATTTAGTGTGCATGAGTGTTAGGAAAATGTTTAGTTACTTTTATTGTGCAATTATAATGTTGTCCTATAATATTACTAATTAAATGGCTGAAATTAGAAATTTTCCATCAAGGTCATAAACTAAGATCTCTACAACATGGGCTCACTCTGAAAACATAGCCCTATATACATTTCTGGAGATCACAAATTATGAAGCCAGAGGAGCGTATGGTTGGATTACATCTTTAAAATGAACGCTACAGGGTGGTATGACTAAAATCTAATCGTCGCATCCTTAATTGTTATGCAGTTCAAAATATATGAATGTATCTGAATGTAGACGAAGCCTATTTAAGCAATGCACTTCTTTTGTTGTACTTTAAAATACAACATTTGAAAATGTTTGTAAAGCCTATTGTATAATGCACTGATATCATGTAGTTTCAAAATACAATATATTAACATTTTAATGTAGAAAAATGCAACGTGGGTGTCTTAAGGAGAAAAAAAATACAACATGTGGGCTCTTTTTTGCTGTTGTCTCATCACTCATATTGCAAGTTTTATCTCACCGGCCCCTCATTTTAAATAGCCCTGTCCTACTGCAAACAAATCCAAACTTAATTTCTGATTATTAATTTGCATTGCTAAAAACTTAATTTTAATTTTTTGTAAGCCAATTTAAAGGCAGCACTATGCGAACAATCCTGGAAATCTTACTTTTTTAGTTTTTGGATGATGTATAAACCTAATTTATTCATTCATTTTCCTTCGCCTTATTAAGAATATATATATATATATATATATATATATATATATATATATATATATATAT